TGCTTTAAAATTTCCTCAAATTTGTATTCGTTCTTAATAATATCAGCTAAAGAACCATTTAAGATAGTTGACAGATGTTTCTCTTGTGGCGTTAAGGTTTCGATTGTAACTTGTTTCCATCCGCACATAAAATTGAATGAAGACATATAATTTTGATCTCGTTGAATATGGAGAATTATACAAACATATTTGGTTTTATTCGGATTCTTCCTCAGAAATTCATTCTGAAATTGCTCAATGATGAACTTCGCTAACTTAATACACCCATCATTTACGGTAGTAACATCACACTGAAGAACTAGCATTAATTCATCTGATTCCTCCCAAAACCGTTTAATTCGATTCTGAAGTTGTGCTTCCGTCTTAAATGTTGATAATTTATCAACTTGGCATTTGAAAAAATCTTTTAAACACTCAGAAACATCTGTATTAATGTTTGAAAATGTATTGATAATAAATCTTGTTATTTCTGTGTCTTCGAATGCAAGATGTCCAAAAAATGTACTAAGACAATCATGATTCTGTCGCGGAATATGTTCGTCAGTGACGTTGCGGAAATAAACATTATTCCATAGATTAATTTCACCGGGATCCACGTTTGATTTTGTGGCTCTAATAATTCCATCAGATGATGCAATGTCAATTAAAGCTGCTTTACATCTTTTAACTATTGCTTCCTCATTATCATCAGGGAATTTTGTCATAATATCAATAACTAAACTCTGCAAAGTTTCATTTTCATCAAAACCAATAAAAAGATCCTTTTGCGTAAAAGAGGTTCTAGCCGCATTAATGTTCCCCGTTCCTACTGAAGAAACCATCTGTTGTGTCCAAGTTCTTAGGATTTTGACTATCTTCTGATGATTTTCAGTAAGAGTGTCATCAATTGTTATCCTTTGTTTTTCAAATCTATTTAGTAATGGTGGATCAGCTGTTGCTAATTTTTTTTCATCAAGAACCAAAATACATCTAAAGTTCTTATGGACGTATCTTTGTAAAATAAATAGATATTAGATATTTTAGTTCTTAATAAATAAAATATATTAGGTTAGTAACTTACAACATAGGATTTGCATAAGCTCCCAATGCAACACGAGTATAATATTTTGGATCATTTTTACTTCCA